GAAGTTGGAGAATGTATCCCTTCCCATTTCAAACTTAAACTCTTACATATAAGTTCAATTGATTTTTGACAGAGGTGCAGGGTGGGAAAGCACGACATGGTGCTGACACTGTCATACAGCCATAGGAATTTAGATCCTTACCTCACACCATATGTGAAAATTCAAAATGGCTCAAAGACCCATTCTTAAGAGCTAAAACGATACAACTTCCAGAATAGAACATAGGAGAAAATCTTTGTAACCCTGAGTTAGCAGAGATACAGTACCAAAAGCACAATCCATACAAGAAAAACTAATAAATTGGACTTCATTAAAATTAAAAACAAGTGTATATCAAAAGACAGCATTAAGAAATTGAAAAGACAAGTCACAGACTGGGAGAAAATACTTGCAAATCAGGTCTTACAAATGACTTGTATCCAGAATATATTAAGAACTGTTATTATTCAGTAACAGAAAACAACGCAATTAGAAAAATGAGCAAAAAATTTAAATAGACATTTTACTAAAGAAGATAAACAGATGGCCCATAAGCACATGAAAAGATACTCAACATCATTAGCTGTCAGAGAAATTTAAATCAAAGCCACGAGGAGATACCACTTTACATCCACGAGGATGGCTATCATGACAAAAGACAGCTAATCGCAAGTGTTGGCGAGGGTGTAGATATTGCTGGTGGCGATGTAAAATGATACAGTTTCTTTCAAAAACAGTCTGGCAGTTTCTTAAAAAGTTAAATGCATGTCCATAAAAAGACCTGAACACAAATGGTCACAGCAGCATGTGAAAACAACCTGCATGTCTATCCACTGGTGAATAAACAAACAAAACGTGTCACAGCCGTACGATGGAACACTATTCAGCAATGAAAAGGAAAGTAATTACCAAAAGATGCCACAATACTACGAACCTCAAAAACATTGCTAAGTGAGAGCAGCCAGGTGCCAAAGACCACATGCAGTCTGATTCCACTTACGTGAAATGTTTACAAACGGCAAACCTGGAGGGCGAGAAGTGGATCAGTGGCTGCCTGAGGCTGGGAGTGGGGCCGGGTAAAGCGCTTAATTGCAAACAGGAATAAGAAATCTTTTGAGTTGATAGAATGTTCTAAAATTGGTTGTGATAGTTGCATAATGCTTTAACCTTACTAAACAATCATCTTAGTGTGAACTTCAAATGCACACATTTTCTGTAGGTAAATTATACCTCCTTCCAACTGTTCAGGGGAGAGAAGGAAGCGCAGGCTCTGGATTCGGGTTCTTGGATTCAAGTCCTGGCTGTGCTGACCAGCTGTGTCGCTCAGGCCGAGTTAAACTTTGGGCCTTAGTTTTCTCATCTGTAAACTGGGAATTACAGAAGAACATACTTCACAGAGTCGATGTGAGAATGAAAGGAGTTAACACAAGTTAATCGCCTAGCACAGGGCCAGCACCCAGCGAGTGTTAGCTACTTTTCTCATCAGGATTATTAGGGTCACGTTCATCCAATCAAGCCTTGCCAATTTCACTTAGCAATTCGTCCTCAGATTAATCACCTTTTCTTCTTAACTTCTTCCCTGGCCTTAAGCTTGGCACCGCCTTTTACATAAAACACTTGCCACAGCCTTCCTAACTTCCTCCGGGGTTGTTCCCTCACATCCGGCCTCCACAGCACCGAGGGCGCACACGGGAAATGTGAATACGTATGACCACGGCAGAACCTGCCGGCAGGACCCCGGTCAGTTTCACCTGGTGCCCTCCCAGATCGGGTCTCCATGGAACCTCTCACCCCCTCCACCCCCACCCTCCACTCACATCAGAGGGGCACATTTCCTCCCACACGCCCTGCAGCTACTCCTGCTTCTGTCCCCTCTGAAGTGGCCCTCTGCCCTCTGCCTTCGTCTACCTACCACGAGTCCGTTCCGGCTCAGCTGAGGCAACAGCCCCACACGGCTGCCCCAGCTTCTTGAGCTGGGCTCACTCCTGGCCTTTCTATACTACAGGCATAGCCCTATCACGTGCCCACAAGCAGCCTGTGCGTGTCTCCACACTGAATGGAGACGCACAGATTACAAAACGCCCCCATCCTGACGCGTGAACCCAGCACGGTCCTGCCTAGGACATTGTAGATGCTCAATAAAATGCTATCAAATGAAGGAGCAGGCCACTCAGGATTTTCTCAGCTCTTCATGTACTGAAAATGTTCTTAGGCTTTCGAACAACTGGGCCCTTTTAAGCATGTCACTTAAGGAAATGAATGGCAGAGGCTGTCTAGGAAGACGGAAATCCTACTGAGGTGCTCCCTATCCTGAAGGACCACTGTGAGCAGCACATGAGGGAAAGAGTAGGGGTCCCGTCACCTCCCAGGTGGTGCCACTTCTGTCCATGGCTGTCAGCAGTGCACCAAAACTTACAGAGATGGCTGGTAAGGTTAATTTTCCCAGTGGAATTTTTCCTGACATCAGAGTTGCTAAACTCTAAAACTCTTGATCTGTTAAGAATTTTTGAGATATCTCCTAGTAGGAATACAAAGACAATCAACTTTAGGAGGATTTTTTTTTAAAAAAGAGCTTAACGACTGAACTTTAAATTATGGGGGCAAAATACAATTATCTGATGCCTGGGTTCCATCCTAGATACTCTGAGTTAAGTGGCCTGGTGTGAGAGCCATGCAGAAAAAATTTTAAAAGTTCACCAGATAAGTCTAAAGAATTCTAAAGAATACCAGATAATTCTAAATTACCCCAGCAAGGGTTGAGATCCATTTTTATGAAATCTTAAATTAGTTCCTTTATTTACCAGTTTTCTCATCTATAAAATGGGAGCAGTTAGATTTATGGATAACTTGAGCATCCTTCTGAAAGTAAAATGCATAAATAAATGTTAATCGGATTCCTTTCTTCTAGTCTCAATATCTTGAGTCATCTTAAAAGTAAAGTCTGGCTCATTAAATCCACCGGGTCACTGAGCATTCGTGTCATATAAGATATAAACATTTAAAATCCATTAAAGAACAGTTTAAAATAAAAGGCCAAAAAACCAAAAACAAATCCCAAAACCATAATCTTAATAACCCACAATCGGGTGTATATTAAAATCAAGGTGTGATTCCAAAAGATAACTGAGCATAATCTTAAATCCAGAAGATAAAGCTATAGGTCCTCAGAATAAAATCCCAATTTGTAGACATGTCATGTTTTTCTCTAATCATGAAAGGGAAAAGAAAAGGGATCTCAAGAAAGTACTGACCAGGTACTGGTTTGTGCTTGCACTATAGTGGGACCCGAGGGAGACACGTGAAGTGACTAGAACAATGAAAGTCTACTTTAAAGCTACACTGAACATGACAAAATTTAGTATTAGAATCTTTTTAAAAACGGAAAAAGTTAAAACAATCGCACTCTGGAAATATCTAGTTTTCTTCTCCAGAAACATTACATCAACTGAGTTTCTTTTCATTCTTTCAAGAAACATTTTATCATCAATACTTTGATACCTGAATTCATATATAGCTCCCAGCTTTAAAAAGCTTCTCATTTTTTTAAAAATCCTGTTAAAAAACATAAACATCCGAAAGAGTCAAAGTTTTAAAACTCCTTGAAACCGTGGGTCTACTTTAACTTCTCAAAGTATTAAAAAATAAAAACTATACCAAAGTGCTTATTATGTTACGCAAGACTGCTATGAAGACAAGACTTAATTTTGGCAAAATACTTAAAACCATGCACATACAGTTATACAGTAAAATCAGTCTCCACACCAAGAAAATCCTTACCAAATAGGTTTTTCATAAATATATTTTGACCCACTTTACCAATGTTATTTTATGTTATCATTATTTCATTATCTTTTATTAAAAAATAAATTTGAAAGAGTAAAACTGTATGGTGGCAAAATAATTTTGAATTAAATTTCCCTACTTAAAAAACTAACATAGAGAGCTACATTTTATAATGGGGAAGACTATAATTAATGCCTTATTGCTATTAACAATGTCATATTAAATAAAACAAAGGGAAAGGTGATGTAGTTCTAAATACAATCTTACTGGAAATTAATAAAGCACATAACATAGAATTGTGATATATATATAAAGTAACGTAAGAGCACTAGGCAACACATACCCAATTAGGAGAGGATTAGCTTTAGACGCATCAGGGATGCGCCATTTTTGCCATATGAAAAAAATGCACATAAAAGACACAAATCAAAATATACTTATTACTTTCAGCATGTTAAAAATAATCACATCAAAAAAAGTATACAGATAAAAAATGTCATAGATGACATAAGAAAATAGTGCTTGTGTGTGTATATATATATTTTGCATATATATATATAAATCTACAGTATTTACCACATTGATATATATATTTTAGAGCAGCTCAGACACTGCTATCATAAACTAAATTGTACAGCTTGGTTTATTATAAGTCACAGAATCATGGTTCAAAAATTAGAATTAATATCCTCAGCTACATTTTTATATACATTTATTTCTCAGGTTCCACATGATTTAAATCAAGAGCCTGGTTATTTTACCAGGGTTTTGTTTGAGCTTCAGTGTAGTGTTCAGCTTTAATACACTGCATGTGTTTTGCCATTTAATAACATCATTACCAAGTTGATTAAAATTACATTAGACTCATTATATACATAAAAAATATTGTCACATTCACTAGCTAAACAAATGTTACTTTCATTTTAATAGACAAACTTTTGTACCTTGAAAGCGTAAAGCTCCAACTTGCAACAGGAAGAACCATCAATGTTAGGTTTTCTACTCTCTAGTATTCAAATATAAGCCAAGTAATGTAGAAAACAAGCTCCCCAATTAAACATGAAGTCATACTTTCTTAGAGCGCCCAAAACTTTGTCAGTGTTTTGGTGATTGTAGTGTAATAGAATATTTTAAAAGACATTACTAATTTTTTTTTTTTAACCATGAACCTGAATTTTTTTCAAGAAAAAAAAAAGGTTTTCAAAAGCATGAAAGTAACACTGTATTTTTTTAAAAGATCAAAATCCTAGACTCCTATTAATAATTAGGATCATTTTTTATCATTTTACATGGCTAATTTAATGGCCCGATTAAGAACACTGACTACACTCTCTAAAGAAAGAATGCCAGGAAAGGATCATGTAAACGACCACCCTGGGGCAGAACTGAAAAGTAACCATATTGTTAATCCTGCTTCCAAATGAATTTCAAAGGCATTTGTGCTGCGTCCTGGGCGAGTGCTGAATGATCAGTATGTTGCAGCTTTCCTGCGGCATCCACTGGAGAGCTGTGCCCGGCATCGCCTGGGCATCTGGCGGGGACAGCCTGCTCTGAGCTCTGCAGGAGTCAGACCAGAACAAAGCGCACAAGAGCACTAAGACTGGCCTGGTAAACAGATAGGAGGAGCCCCACACCTCTGGCCATAAACTTACTTTAACTGCCCCGATTTTTAAGCACCATTAAGCTGGTTAGCCTTTCTCTCCAATATATTTGATTTTCAGATTCAAAGAAAATGGTAGCAACTGAAGGAGAATGATGAGCATTCTGTGAGATGTTGAATTAATAAAGTCAGGGAAACTCTTTAGTCAGTTTAAGACCGAGGTTAAAATATGAGAAGAAAAAAACTGGACTAAAAGAAACATTAAGGAAAAGAAGGATAACACGTTATCCCATGGGTCTGGATTAAAAATAGTTTTTTAAAAACACTTCTTTAGTTCTGTGTTCAAATGTGTATGCATAGATGCCTATGATAGCTATTAAAAAACATACACACTACACATAGCCTTAAAAATACCTAATCTATAGTTTTTCAGTACTTTGTAACATCAGTCGAAACAGAATGGGCCAATAGAGTAAAAATGTTCAAGTTTTGGAAAAAGATATAAATGGAACTGAGTAATAAATTATCATCTTGCATGCATCCCTAAATGCTATTGCTGTTTCCAGGTTAAATTCTTTTTAACAGGGTCAGTGATGACGTACTTTAAATGCTCATCTGAAGCAGCATCTACATGAGAATGAAGACGTTTCCGTATATTCTTATCACTAACAAGACACCAGGGCTGTGCAAGTTGTTCACAATAGTATAAAATACTGCTTTGGCAATTACAAACATAGCGATGTGGGTTTCTGTGGTTTCTACCCTCGTCGCCAGCGAGCACAGATCAATCGTCACAGCAGCACCGACTCCTGAATGGACAGGCCGTCCCGGTTTCTGTAGTGGTAGGCTGGAGGCGAGGGCCCCGAATACTGAAAGCCCGGGGGGCCGGCGTCTTCCGCCGCGCGCGGTCTGTACCGCACGGGGCTGTCCACCGAGACGGCGGGGAGGCCGTGGTCCTGGAAGGGGCCGCGCTGAAACGCCGCGTATCTCGCTACGTCGCCACGGCCGGCGTCCCGAGGCCACGCCTGCCCGTGCACCTCGGGCCTGTAAGTGTAAGTCACTTCCGACCACTTCCGGTTGTCTGGCAAATAATCCACCGGAGGAAGGATGAACTGCGTGTGCTTTGGTGACCCCGCACTGCCCGGGTGCGCGCCGCCGGCGACGTCCACCGGAAGCACTTCTATCCGACTGGACGGCAGCACGAGCGGGGCCGGGCGGCCGAACGCTCGGTCCGGAGAGAGATCGATCGAAAGAGTAGAGCCGTAGGGTCTCCCGGAAGGACGACCTGGGGCCCCGGGGCTGAAGTGGGGGGACCCAAAGCTGTTGGCGGCGGGGAGGTGTTTGGGGGCGTCGCCGTGGGCGGGCGGGCGCGCGTAGCCGGGGGGCTGCGCCCGAAAGGCGAACCTGCTGGGGGCTTTCGCGGGGCTGGCGCCGGGCTCCGCGAGCCTCCGCGGGCTGCCGGCCTGGGCGCCGGTCCTGGGACTGTGCGAGCGAGCCCTGTCCAGGGCCTCTTCCACGGCAGCCGCGCCTTCGCCCTCGTCGCCGGGCGCGCCGTCGCCGGGCACGTTGTCGTACTGCGACGCGGTGGAGCCGCGCTTGCCGTCCTCCACCTCCAGGGCCCTGGGCTGCGGCCGCGCGTGCGACACCGACACCCGGCCGTCGGCGGGGCCCGGGGCGCCTGTGAGCGTGGGGTGCCCCGGTCTGCTCTTACCTTCGGCGTGTCTGGCAGTTCTCTCCAAAGCTGAGCCATCGGACGGTTTGTTCCATTTGGGCACAAATTCCTTCCTGACGTTGGAAGTGGCGTTGCTGTTTTGGTTAGCAGCGGCATGATTATACTGCCTGGAACTGTCATGTGGCCCTGATGGGGGTTTTCTTTGAAAATCCGCCTCTTCCTTAAGCTTCTTGCTGTCCTCGTCCACCGATCTCCGTCTTAGCTGCCTGGCGCGCTCCGGGGTGCCCGTTCTCCCCTGGTGGCGCGGGGAGTGCTCCTGCTTCCGGGACTGCGACACCGCCGTGCTCTCCCTCCTGCTGCCCAGGTGGGGGCTCGGCCTGCCCACGCTTCTTTGGCCGTTGCTCAGGTGACTGAGGCCACCACCCTGGAATTCAGGCGGAAGCTGCCCCAAAGGTTTCTTTGGATATTCATCCTCTTTACCTAAAGAGAAAATAAATTCGTAAGTAAAATGAATACATAAGGAAACAGCATCCAGTATAAGAGATATATTTTTAATAACTGCATCCTTTTCGCATGTGTACACTCATTCATGCACACACTTTGATACCACAGAATTTTAGCGGCTGGTGGGATTATCCATCTTTCAGAGATGGACACTAAAACACACCAGACACTCAGCAGCTTACTAGGCAATGTGTGGGTGGGAATACTTTGTAAACTTATGGGTGAGTTTCATACATTTGTGTAACCAAGACTCTCATATTTTGTTAAGACATATTATCTCGTGCTTTTCCAAGAATGCAAGGCCGACATTCTCATTTCTATTCCTCATACAATCCTGCAGGTCACGAGTTCAGTATCTTAACATGATACTACTTTCACTTTAGCCTACCTCAACTGCAGTGGTTTTGAAATGTCAGTAAAACTTTTGCTGTCAACTTCCAGCAGGCCCACCAAATTTAAAAGTCGACTTATAACCAACTGTGGTCTCAAAGTGGTCCCCACATAGATTCTTATTCTTAAGTATCTCCCACAGTATAATTCCTGAAAAAAGAAAAAGTACTCTCTATCTGAAAGCTAACATTCTAAAGGGATCCTACTTTAAATGCAAAAAAAAAAAAAAATTAAAATCATATCAGATACCTTATTCAGCCCATCAAGTTAAAAGCAAGTGATGAAAATAAAATTGAAATCTACTTAGTATCCCCTGAAAATTTTTTAATCAACTCTATAGATATTATAGTTATCTATTTGGTCCCACATAAATACACGAATTCCTTCTTCCCTGTAGGCAAATAATCCCAACAAACACAAATTATCTAGAAGATTTAAAGACCTATATAACAGAAAAACTGAACTTACAAACCTTCTTTTAGTCCCCGCTGTCTGACAGTTTTCCAAGGGCAGAACACAGTGAGCTGATTGGCTAATTCACTGGCTGCCATCAGATAATAACAGCCAATCGTCAGAACATCTGCTTCAGGTTAGCAAGGAGGAACCTGATGGAAAACACGGCCACTAAAAAGGGAAGAACTGCGGCGCCCAGAGAGCGGCTCCCTCGTGCCTGCAGGATGTGCTGTTCCAGGGACAAAACTGGATTCGCTGTAGGGATTGTCACGCTGAGCCTTGGGGCTGCCCCACCTCCACCGCTCACTGGCTTGAGGCAGCCTGCAGAGGCCACCAACTTTTTAGTTCACATGAAATAATTTCAAATGCTTTTAAAATTCTCCATGGCAGTATTAAAAAAAAAAACAAACCCAAAAGTAAGAGATTTCTAACTGCACTGCCTTTGCGCCGCACGTGTGCTCCCCCGGAACGTCAGTCCACCCGCGGGAGCTGCACGTGCTTCTCAGCCCGGGCTGCAGACGATTGGACTGTTTCTGCAACGTTTCAATCTGTGTCAACGCATAACTCATGAAAACTCAAGTCACTTGAAATTAGGTGTTTTAAAGGGTAGCTACCCTTAGGTCTACATCCCAAATCTCAAAATGGGTTGGTTTTACTAAAAACAAGTTTCACGGACTGCCTTTTTCTGTTAGCAAAAAGTCACGTTTTATTACTTATGATCATTAAGGTGCCTTCATGGTCCTCGCACATTTTCAATGTCAACAATGTAATGAGACCAACTACAGTCATCAAAACATATCTTATACAACCACATCAAGACGACGACTTAGCAAAGCAAACATGAAAGGCAAAGATACTTTGCAGATTCCCGTCTGTAGTTTTCTATGTCCTGTGGTCACCAACTTCATGCTGGGAATGGTCAGTTTGGGGTTGGCTTCCACAGACCCTCAGCTATAGCTACTTTTGGATGATGCTGAAGTGAAATGGTGGCCTTTCTAAGCGTGGTGACCCAGCATCTGGGCGCTGTCCTAGGCTTGAACCAACTGAGTAAGATGGAAGATGACTTCCCTTATCCTCAACGCGGCCGTGGACAATGCGTCAGCTGTCTGGCAGTCACAACGTACTGCCGAACTTTTGCATGGACAGTGACTGCCAAATGTTAAGCTGTATGTCTCTAAGGCACAGCGGAAAGAGCACGGTCACAGGAACAAACGACCTGAGTGTGAATCCTGGCTCTGTCACTAATAAGCTGAGTGTGAACTCAGACAAGTCATGTAACCTGAGTCTCAGATTTCCCATCTATAATGAAGACGGCAATATCTACTTTGCAGATTTGCTGTCAGGATAAGAGTTAATATATGAAAAAAAGTCTAGCATATTTCCTGGCATATAGCAGATACTTAGCAATTGGTAGTTAATATTACTCTATACTATACACAATCATAAATTATGTAACGACAGGGACACGTTCTGAGGAACGAGTCACGAGGTGATTTTGTCATGTGAACATCACAGAGCGCACTTGGGCAGACCTAGACGGCGCATCCTGCTACGCACCTAGGACATACGGCACACCTTCAAGCACTTGCTGGGTTCCACGGCGTCTCAAAGATGACCGACACTCACAGGAATCTCATCTACAAGTTCACCTGGTCCAATGAGATGTTCCAGGACACACTGACTGTGTCTGGTCTCTTAAGTCACATCTTGGTCACATTGGCTTTAAGTTCCTCTTATCAATATTTACTCAAATTTTCCCATTCTAAACCTATTTTTTACTGAAAACATGAAAGCAAAACATTTGGAACAGTGCTCCATCCCTCGGTCGGGACGAGTGGCCCTGTGCCGGCCCTGTCTCTTCTCCTTCGATACACAGAGTCACTGGGCTGGCTTTAGTTACACCGTCAGGGTGAGGAAGAGAAGCTAGGGACGGCAGCAAGAGGGTTTAATAAAGGACCAACGCCATGGGAAGAGGTCAAAAACCACATTAGAGGTGGGTGGAAGGAAGAAGGCGGGGAAGAAAGAGGACTAAGAGAAAGTGGAACATCTCTGGGGAAAGCATTGCCGTGGCACAGACCATCCCTATGTTGTAACATCCACAGAGTTTCGTTCTGAAATCCTTCAACATAAAAGGCACAAATCAGCAAAGACTTAACTAGACACATAGTAAAATGTGGGATTATGGATATAAGGCATATATTTCTTAGGATCTAAACATTAAAGAATTTAATAATCGAGAAGTAACGGAGAGACTAAGATGGTAATTTCAGGCACGAAACAAAATGTAAAGGTATGTGTAACACACACTTGGGAGATACAACTTTTCAAGAAAAGTATTTACCTTATACTTAATGCTACTTTATGTTCCAGTAAACACAGAAATTTCTCTAAGGAAGAGTGCTTAATATTCTATGCATCTATTTATAATTTTATAATTAAAAGAAAAATTTAACATGTTCCATTTATTGAATGGGCAAGAGGCTAAAATGCACACTGGGAAAAGAATCTGTGACTGTTCAAAATGTCCAAAAAGTAGCATCTTCAAGTTCCTCCATGATAGTCTGTAATACATTCCCCTTTCCCCCAAGTAGACCATAACCTCATTACTTCTTTTATATTCCTTCCCCTACCTAAAACAGGAATAGACTTACTAGGAAGTTGTTGACAAAATGTCCGTTCATTCATACATAATCCATACGAATTAGAGTAATGACGATGTCCATATAAACACATCAGAAACATAATGGATATAAATATCCACGATCCACGCAGCTAAGAAACTAGATGTAGCAGGGTTTTGGGGGAAGAAACCAGTATAGACAAAATGACATTGTACCTAATTAACTCCTAAATGACGACCCCTCTTTAGGAACTACTGTATGAGAGGAATGTGCAAGTACCTCAAATGCACAAAAACATACAGAGGATATGGCCTCTTTGCCCTGACAAAGATTTTCGTAAGGATGGAAGAAGGCAGTAGACGGAGATATAAGAAAAAGCCTCTGATTTATGGGTGCTTAAAAAAATCAATTCCTCCAAATTTTAAGGATGGTAAAGCAAGTTAGGCTAGGAGGCCCTACACAGTGGGATAAGGGTATCACACAAACCAGGCCCAGACTGCAGTGGCAGGGTTTGCTTAATGTCAGACAGTGTCAGTTCACTCCTACGTTCTACAGCGATCTGTGGCCAGGGAGCACACCACGTGTAGCTAATACGTGACTCACGAGACCAGCATCAACATCTATCTTCCCTAAATATTGGGTGACTGGTAACACCGTTGGATAGTGCCATATACAAGTTACTCCCATCATCGACCTAACACCTCTGAATAGTGTAAAATTCTCAGAAATTCCCAGTGATCAATGTGCATGCATTGCTGACACTTCAGAGATGGTCCTGGGGGCCCTCAGGGCAACACTGTGGAGGAGGAAGGAGAAGGGGTGGAAAGAAGGGAAGAGAGAGGGAGAGGAGCGAGGGTAGCGGGGAGGGGCGGGGGCAGGTCAGGGTAGGCACACACTGCAGAGGACCAGAGGAGAAACAAGGAGAGCAGAGGCAGGCGGGACGGAGAGGGCAGGAGAGGGAGGAGGCCACAGGGACCCCTGAGCAGCAGCCCCTGCTCCCTGGGACTCTCCTGTCAGCGCAGGGACATGCTCGTGTTTCCCAAGTGGAAGGGCAGAGGCTCAACTCCCACAGCAGGGCCAGGACCCAGGGACTCTGTGCCTGGGGATCTGACTGCTGTCATGCTGACATTAACAGGAAAAATCTACCTGACTTCATTATACAGGTGATTCCTTTTTGAAGATCGACTATTCAACTTTCACTAAACTCAAGAGACACTGTGTATGTACACCTTATAAGAAGGCCAAATGCTATCACCAGCCATATTTTCATACACTACTAAATATTCTCTACTTTTTCCCACAAAAGTAGATCCAAAGCATTCAACATTTTGGTACAATTTCTTTTTAGAGGTAGCTCGAACTACTTAACTACTACACAGATACATACATACACACACACACACACACACACAAATACTGCTACGCTTGATCTTTATTTGGTTTAAATATCTCCTTTCACCCTGAGCAATTCACTGTAACTAAAAGATTCAAGCATAATTGATGTCAAAAGAG